GGGGGGGAGGCTGGGATCAGAGTGGGGCGGAGCTGGGATCGGGGTGGGAGGGGAGACTGGGATCAGAGTGGGGATGGAGCTGGGATCAGGGGCGGGGAGGCCCCATGTCTGGCTGGGCTGGTGCTCGTGCAGCACACGCGTCCCTCGTGCACACGTGTGCCGGGCCAGGGGCACGGCCTGTCGTGCACCCACAGCCGTAAAACACCTGCCCCCCTTTCCCTAGGGGCCCAGCTAGTGAATCTGTCCCCTCCTGCAGATCTGCCCCTCCTGCCCGGTCCGATCGGGGGGCCTGAAGCCGGCGGACCGAATGGCGCACCTGCTGGGCGATCCGAACTGCATGGAGAGCTTGAGAAAGGACCTCACGAGTAAAACACCTGCCCCCCTTTCCCTAGGGGCCCAGCTAGTGAATCTGTCCCCTCCTGCAGATCTGCCCCTCCTGCCCGGTCCGATCGGGGGGCCTGAAGCCGGCGGACCGAATGGCGCACCTGCTGGGCGATCCGAACTGCATGGAGAGCTTGAGAAAGGACCTCACCGACCTACAAGGAGCCATCGTCGACGTTTTCTCCCGGGCGGGAGCCGCGCGCTATCCCTCCTGGAAGTTCCCCAATAAAGTGTCCTGCGAGCTGGATCTGGTGGCTTTGCTGGAGCAGTATGACTATGTGGAGAACGACCCTGAATTTACCCAGCATTCCCATGTCGTGCTCCTGGAACTAGTGATTGACAGGTGCGAGGATGAAAGAACTCTTCATGTCCTGGGCGGGGTTCCCTAGGGAGGAGGTGGAGTCTCCGTCCCTAGAGGTGTTTAAGTCCCGGCTTGACCAAGCCCTGGCTGGGTTGATTGAGTTGGGGTTGGTCCTGCTTTGGGCAGGGGGCTGGACTTGATGACCTCCTGAGGCCGGGGTGGCCAACCCATTGAACAAAGAGAGCCGAATCAGCGGCGGAAAAAATGCCAAGAGCTGCAGTCACTGCCCCTTGAAAAAACACAGACTTAGTCTTTTTAGGCCACGTCAGGCTGCTTTTGCCGAAAAACTTGCCAGTCTAGACACAGCCCTTGCTAATTAGCATAGCCTGGAGCCTTGCTAATTAGCATAGCCTAGAGCCTTGCTAATTAGCATAGCCATTGGCTGAGCATTCCTGGCCACAGAGAATTTTCCAGCATCCCTACAGAGTACATGCTTATAACTCCACAGACAGATATCATACAAGTACATGAATGGCACATACAGAATCGGTAGAACAGAAGCTTTCATGAGACACCTCACATGGTTCCCTTTGGGGCAACCCCCCCCCCCCCCACCCAAGGGTGCAGCAGTGATCTGGCTGCTCCCGTTAAAATCCAGTGAGGTGACACGCACTTTAGGGGGGAAAGAGCTGCATGAGGCTCGCAAGCCATGGATTGGCCACGCGTGTCTTGAAGGGCTCGTCCAACCCTAGGATTCTACGGTTAAAAGACTGGCCCGGGAACAGCCCCAATTCCAGAAATGCCTGTTGGGAAAACACTCCGGCTGCGTCTAGACAGGCCTGATTTTCCGCAAATGCTTTTCGTTCGGTGTGTTAGAGTCACGTGAATCTGGAACAGTCCCCTACGATGCCCTGGTGGATCACGAACCCCGTGGTGAAATTGATCGGTGTTAGGCCCTGAACTCAGAGGAATGTTGCTCTGGACCCACAGCTGGGGACGTGCACCCATGCCTGTCCAGCCCTGCCTCATTTCTACCCCAAAACAGTCTCATGGGTTCCCAAACTGGGAAACGTGGCCCCCGGAGGGGGGGGGGCGTGAAGAAATTCCAGTGGGGGGGGAG